CCTGCTGGCTGCTGCTGAGACACAACACCATGGAATCAATCACCCCACGGCCTGATCAATTCGTCCACCCCTCATTTCCCAGTAGGGAAATTAAGGCACAGCTGCCAGCTGTGAGATCATGATGGAGCTGGGAATGAACCACTCCAGCCTGGCCATCCCAGATTTGGCCACCAGTGGGATGTGAGAGGAGAGCAAGGGGGGCCCAAGAGCAATTTGCTGCTCTCCAAAAGAAGATGATGGGAGGGCTGGAGCAGCTCTGGGACAGGCTGGGAGAGCTGGGATGTTCAGCCTGGAGAAGAGAAGGCCCCAGGGAGACCTTAGAGCACCTTCCAGTGCCTGAAGGGGCTCCAAGAAAGCTGGGGAGGGACTGTTTACCAGGGTGTGTAGTGATAGAACAAGGAGTTATGGTTTTAAACTGGAAAAGGAGAGATTTAGGTGGGACATGAGGAGGAAATTCTTTGCTGTGAGGGTGGTGAGAGCCTGGCCCAGGTTGCCCAGGGAAGCTGTGGCTGCCCCATCCCTGGCAGTGTTGAAGGGCAGGTTGGATGGGGCTTGGAGCAACCTGGGCTGGTGGGAGGTCTCCCAGCCCATGCAGGGGGAGGGACTGGATGATCTTTAAGGTCCTTTCCAACCAAAACCATTTCATAACTCTATTAAAAAAAAAAAAAAAAACAACAAACCTGGGCGGATTTTGCCTTGGCACCATGAGCCAGCAGTGGCAGCAGCTTTCTCAGGACTGGGAGGTTTACCTTTGGTTTCACCTTCAGATTTAGCTTTTGCTCAATGTGAGGTGTTTGCCATGGGTATATTTAGCTGTTGCTGCACCCAACCAGCTCGTGCTGCTCCTTGGCATTCAGGCAGGTGCTGTTGTTTGATTAGGACAGCACCTCGTTACCAGTTCGTGCTCTCATTCAGCCAAGATGAGTGGGCATCAAGATGAAAAGGGGGAAATGCCACCAGTGGGTATAAATAGATTGATCTGGTTATTATTATTAATTGCTTGGGAGTGCTCTCATCCCCAGCTGCATGTGGTACAAGCCAGGGACAGGCAGGCAGGTGTCCACCAAGGGAAGATCAGAAGATCACAGAATCACAGAATCTTAGGGGTTGGAAGGGACCTGGGAAGATCTCCCAGCCCAACCTCCCTGCCAGAGCAGGGGCACCCAGAGCACATCACACAGGAACGTGGCCAGGGGGGTTGCAATGTCTCCAGAGAAGGAGACTCCACAGCCTCTCTGGGCAGCCTGGCCCAGGGCTCTGGCACTCTCACCCCAAAGAAGTTCTTCCTGAGATTCCCATGGAACCTCCTGGGCTCCAGTTTGCACCCACTGCCCCTTGTCCTGTCACTGGACATCACTGCACAAAGCCTGGCTCTGTCCTCCTGACACTGCCCTGAACAGATTTGTGCCCATGGATGAGGTGGCCCCTCAGTCTCCTCTTCTCCAAGCCCAACAGCCCCAGCTCCCTCAGCCTTTCCTCAGCAGGGAGATGTTCCCCTCCCTCCAGCATCTCTGTGGCTCTGCCCTGGGCTCTTCCCAGCACTTCCCTGTCCTTCTGGAACTGAGGGGCCCAGAACTGGACACAATATTCCAGATGCAGCCTCACCAGGGCCGAACGGAGGGGAAGAAGAACCACCCTGACCTACCAACCACCCCCTTTCCAAGATGTCCCCAGCTTTGGCTTTCTGGGCTTGTGTGGCACAGCCTCCCGGGGCTGCCCCTTCCTGGGGACAGTGTTGGCAGCTCTCCCTCCCTCTTCCCAGGTGCTGAAGGGTTTCCCTGACTGCCTGCAGGCAGACATCTGCCTCCACCTCAACCGCACGCTGCTCCAGAACTGCAAGGCCTTCCGAGGAGCCAGCAAAGGCTGCCTTCGTGCCCTGGCCATGAAGTTCAAGACCACCCATGCCCCTCCTGGAGACACCTTGGTGCACTATGGAGATGTCCTCACCACGCTCTACTTCATCTCCCGGGGCTCCATCGAGATCCTCCGGGAAGACATTGTGGTGGCCATCTTAGGTAGAAAACTCCTTCCTTCTGGGAGGGCCAGGGGTGATGGGCGAGTTGGGGAAGGGTGATGGGTGGATGGTGATGAGTGATGGTCAGTGGGCAGAGGGTGATAGGGGAGGGGTGAAGGACTTCTCCATGTCCTGAGAAGGGAAGGCTGTTCCTCAACCTCTAGCTGGTCACTTACACCAGTGGACAGGGAATCTGGTAGATGCCAGGGTGAGGAGAGCAGGACATGGCTCAGCAGCCTCCAGCCATCACTGATGACCCACTGCCCTGGCTCAGTCTCCCTCCCGTCAGTGATGGCTTTCATGGTGTAATCCCCAGTGTCTGCAGTCAGGGCCAGGGTTGCTGGGCAATCCCTTGTCCAAAAACCCCAAAGTGAGGTCTGCTGGCCATCTGGAACCGGGCTGGGTGCCCACCTCTCCCTAACGAGCTGTCTGTTGGCACAGGGAAGAACGACATCTTTGGGGAGCCCATCAGCCTCTACGCCCGCCCAGGGAAGTCCAATGCCGACGTGAGGGCCCTGACCTACTGTGACTTGCACAAGATCCAGAGGGAGGACCTGCTGGAAGTCTTGGATATGTATCCAGCCTTCTCTGACAACTTCTGGAGCAACTTAGAGATCACCTTCAACCTGCGAGATGTGAGTGGCAGGGCTGTCAGAGGGAGGGATGTGATCAGTGCCTTAAATTTGGCAAGTGGGAGAGCTGAAGGAAGGACACCAACAGGTGCTCCTCACTCAGTTTGGTGGTGGATTGGCCAGCAGCCGCGGTTCTCCAGGCACTCATCATGTCCCCTC